GTGGTTTTTTTTTAATTGTTGTACATCATTTGGAGTTAGAAGACCATATAAAATTTAAAAGCAGATAAGACTCATAAATGAGAAGAAAGGGGGCTTAGAATCATAGAGTCAGCAGGGTATTAAACCATTGTACAAAGACATCCTCCATAGCATTGTATTGGGGATATTTTCTCCATAACAAATTCCCCTGCCCCAGCCGCAAATCTGGATCAGTTTCCAATCTGGCTACTTTTACTGACTTTTTCCACTACATTAAATCTGGTCCTATTCTGTCTGTTCTTGGAAAATTATTCTGCTGTTAGATGACTGGACAGAAAATATCTGAAATCCATATAAACTATTCCTTTTCAACATTCCATTGAAATAAAAAGAACAAAAAAGATAGAAAGGAGAAGTCGAACAAAAACATTTTCTCTCTAGGAACTAAGCTAGATAAACATCATTCAGAACTGGTGTACTGTAGGTAAAGTAAATCTTGTCTCTTTGTTACAGATGATGGTCGAATTACATATGATGATTGATCACTGTGATTATCTTCACAAATACATTTATATCCCCCTATAGAAGAGAATAGGTAGCTCAAGGTTAAACTATGAAGACCTTGTTGCTGTCTGAATTTTGGTTGTTATAGAGGGGGTGGGATTGTTATGGAGAAAATATCTCTAATACAATTGTACAGAAGAAGTGATTAGACAATGGTTCAGAACACTATTGACTCTATGATTCTAAAATCAGCTTCTTCCCTGACTTATACCATCGTTCATGGGTGTCAAACCCACGGCATCATGTTGCTGTCACGTGATGTATTGTGACTTTTTCCCCTTTTGCAGAGCTGGGGTGGGCGTGGCTTGTAGGTGACCCACAGGCCTCCAGTTTGACATGCCTGCTGTAGTTCTTATTTGCTTTAAGTTTTATATTGTCTCTTAACTCAAAAAGAAAGACAGAAAATAACTACAAAAAAAAAAAACCCAAAAGCCTCCTCATGCAAATATGTAGTGCACTGATAATGCTACCTAGTTGGGTAATGAAATATCTGCAAGCAAACAATCAAGCTCAGACATCTCCAAGGACTCCCCATTTATAGCTACTTGGCTTGCCAAGACAGTACTTTAAAGTTAATGTTATTTTCCTGGTCATCCATCAGCATGTTAATGATTATGAGCATAATAATATGTGCCTCTCCACTGCAGTATCTTTTGCTTCTATAAACAAGCTTGGGTTAAGGTTTAGGCTTGGAACTATTCTATATAGTCATGGCAGTGTTTTTATTTTTTTCATACAATATTCATTCATCCATTCATCCATGTAGAAGATATATTTTAATATCAGCTTCTATTTCATAAAGTCTGAGAAGAAGAAAAAAAACCAAAGGCAAAAAGTTAAAATATTAAAAATGTTATAAGAAAAAAGATTTTCTCAGAAATTTCCTAAAGCTAGCTGTGAGATATTGGACTATTGTCAAATATATTAAAATGTGTTCTTATAATGCATAACTCATACAGAGATTATTTACACATTATGTACATATGGCAGATAAATATTTAGAAAAAAGATGAATAATTTTCCTCATGTAATTCCTTTTGCTATTATTGAAAAAAATGTTTGAAAAAGTTAGTACAGACTCTTTTAATATCCTGCTTTGGTGAAGAGTCAAGCAACAAATTATGCAATGAATAATCTATGAGCAAACCCCCTCTCCTTCCCTGTCCCACCACCACCAGTCTTTGCAAATGTATTAGCCAAAAACGTCTTTCATCTCAGTGGATCTTACACATCTGGACTCCATTAGGCTGGAGAATGCTGCTCTAGACACTGTTATGAAAATGAGGTTGTGTTTCTTTCTCCTGGAAAATGTTAATGTATTCTGTCCTATTTCAACATTATTAAATTCAGAGAAAATCAGTTGGGGAATCTCCCATGCCATCTTGTGCTGTTAAATTTGCAGGCCAATGCAAAATAATGAATAGGACACAGCAGAGAGGTCCCTTCCTTGTCTGTGATAATAATGATTGCTTCTTTGATGGGGAACTTGGAGGCAGCATTGGCTTGGTCTTGGTCTTTCTCTTCTGGAAGGGTGGGATATTGACATGGACAGAACAACCTGGCTAGATTTAATAGGCATGGATTTTGCTACTGATTGGGATACAGAAGAAAAACCTGGACTAATGGATTGGAATGGAGGGTATGGTGAGGGCCAGAAGAGATTATAGAGAGAAAAGTCAGGGTAGGTGGATGATTATGGAAGATAAAAGAGTAAGCATCTAGCCTTCTACCTTGTATGATGAAATTTTGTCAGAATCTGAAAGCCCAGAATAATAGAAATACCTGGACAATGCGCACAATTTCACATTTACAAAGATAAATGTCAAAGTTGCCTACACCTAATGTGCTAGTAATATATATTTTAATACAAGGCAAGGCTACTTCTAAACTATTTTGCCCCTTGTCATAGAGGGAAATGAGAATATATTTGAGCAAAGAGAAAAATGCAGCTATATCTATGTTGCAATAGAATGACACAGTGGGCAGCTTGGTGTTTCATACTGGATGAATTCAGACAACATCTTAAGCCAGGATTTTAAAACCATGTTTTACTTCCCAGAGTCCTTGGTTCCAAATAATGCTAAATTATATTGAGCCCCCAAATCCCAAACCATATTATGGCTTAACATTATATGTAACAGTGGTGGGTTGCAAATATTTTTACTACAGGATTGGGCATGCTTGTGCATGCGCTTCTACTCATTCTACTCATTTTTGGTTATAAAATGTTCAACATTGTCCATTATCTATTCTTCTCCTGCCTCTAAATTGGCAATATTTATTGATATTCTTTGGACATTTTAATGCTGTTCCTTTGTTTTTTAAAATGTAATAAATTAAAAAAGATAAGAATTATAAAATTATCAGAGTGATTATTTTAACATTTTATATTGGTTCTTGAAAAAGAACAAAAATGGCTTTAAACCCCTGTCAGAAATATATTCCTGCTACGGAAAACAAACAAACAAACAAAAAACCTAATTAAGCATAACATTTACCTATTCTCGTACATGTAATCTTCCCAAACTCAGGGTTGTAATGATCCTTCTAAAGCACTATTGTAATAAAAACTAAATAATTTTTAAACGTTTCTGTGGATTGCTATTTAAGGATATTTTTAAAAAAGAATCATGCTAATCATTCAGAATTTGTAATTGCACACCTGTCATCCTGAGAAGTTCTGTTGGAATTACAACATTTCCAGAAGTTCCTGAACTGAGCCTTTCAAATTCTTAAGCTTGGTAAATATCAAGCATCGACTAAATTTTATCCAAAATGATAATAAAAAATAGCTTAGCTTAGCATTACTTTCTATTCTAGGATGCACCACTTTTGTCTAATAATACCAATCTAGAAATAACAGTGTGTAGAATCCTACAAAATTAGTCAAGTATGAATATTAAACTAAATTAGTTGGATGATGATAAAGATGTTAATAATAGTCTTAGATATCATCATTATATTATATAGAAGTGTGTGTGTAAACTTTGTTTTATAAGGTAAGAAATCCATCTAATTGCCCTACAGCTACTTGTGCATATAATTATCATCCCACAACATTCCTTCCTTCTGTTAAATAAAGGGAAAACCACAGAAAAGCCTCTATTAATTTATTCTTTCAATGGAGACTGCATGAATTGAAAAAAAAGTCTGAGATTTTTCATCAGGAGTGAAAAATGATGGAGTGAATGAATCATAAGGTTCTGCCATATTCACATGAAATTCGAGGAGATTTTTCTTCGAGAGTCTTGCACGATAATTCATAAACAATGTGAGGCCTATTATTTCTAGGGAAACGATTCAGTCAGCTGAAAGCTGCCGAAATACAATATTTGCCAATCTGTTGGTTAAAGTGGTGTTCCGTGCACAGCCTTCCAAGAACCATGGCAGATTTGTAGGATAGTTTGGGTGAGCATAGCTTTCACCATGGGTATTTTTGTTAAGCAGTAAATGGTAACGGAGTTGGAAGGAACCTTGGAGGTCATCTAGTCCAACCCCCTGCTCACGCAGCAGACCTGTACTAGGGATTCAAATCGCCGAATTGCTGACCTTTCTGATCAACAAGCTCAGTGTCTTAGCCCCTGAGCCACCTAGTCAGAACAAGAGTCAGAAAAATATTGAATTTGAAATAGGTTTAAGAACCTTTCTAGGTGACGTACCTGTCATATATTGGATTATGAAAAAAAGCTTATTGAGACAAAAGGATTTAGAAGATTAAGACTGTTCAATTCAGTCTTGGTCAACAACTGAGCATAATAGAATCTCAGTTCATTAGTAAGGCCCATAACGTAAGAAATGAAGTCAATACAGGACAATTGCCTCTCATGGCTAAAAGATCAATCTAGTATCTGTTGATTCCGAGAAGCAGGAGAAGGCTTAGAATTTAAACACCCAAGAAAGCAAATCTTCTTTATGTACAGTATAAAATTTCTTTCTTGTCTGCAATAAAAACAACTAATCTTGTTGTGTGATGCATGTGAGTTTTCTATTGAGAACATCACACCAAATAAAGGCTGAGCATCTGGAGAGCTGAGATTTTCAGTTGCCTCTGTGAGAAGCCTAATATATTAGTAAATGGTTTGTAAATGCTTCATTCTGTGGCTGTATTTGCACAGAATGAAACATTATCGTAGATGTAAAAATAACCTTCCCAAGATTTGTTGATAGCTCACTATGCTGTCCGATTATTTTATGTGCACATTGTTGGGGAGCAGAAAACAAAAAAAAAGAAAGGAAATCAGAAAGTTTGATAAGACTAGAGATGATAAGAACATGTCAGAATATTAGACTGGTTGCAGTTTCAAAGCAACAAACAGGAAGACCAGATCCCTATTTCAGATTTTGCCTTGCTTAGCTTCTTTAATTAAAATATTAATTGAAAAAACACCACCATAGGTTTTGGAAGATGAAGGAAGAGAAAAGAGAGTGTTAGATGGATGTATTGTCAAAGTACTTACTTTGGGTTTCCAGTGCCTGGCTTCTTTCTCCGGAATATGCTGAGGAAAGTGTTGGACCTACAAGGAGTCTTGCCATCCCCAACATGCATACGCACCACATCTGAAGTGGTGAAGGCACTGCGGACATTCCTTTCGGGCTTTGCAATGATGATATACATCTTGGGAGTGAACATGCACCCCAAGGCAACTGTCACGCTCAGGCTCACAGCAAAGCAAGTTGTAATGATCTTGTAGTTGCTCCCAAAGTATATAGGTACAAAGGCAAGCCAGATGATGCACGTTGTGTACATAGTGAAGGCAATATACTTGGCTTCGTTGAAATTAGCTGGCACGTTGCGAGTTTTGAAAGCGTAGTAAGTGCAACTCATGATGAGAAGTCCATTGTAACCCACTGGGGCAACCACACCTAAGTTGCTGGTGTTGCAGATCAGAAATACTTCCTTGATACTGGGGTAGGAAAGGACGGGGAAAGGGGGCTCCATGATGATCAGTGTAATCACCAACGTCAGCTGTACACTGATCAAAATGGAGGCAATGACTACTTGGGCCCAAGCACTCATGAAGTGTGGTTTGCGGGTGCAAATTTTTTTCTTGCTCCCTGCCAGAATGCGTGCAATGCGGTTGGTTTTTGTTACAAGGGCAGAGTAGCACATGGCAGAGGAAAGCCCCACAAGGAGGCGCTGGAGGTAGCATGAAGTGACAGTGGGCTTAGCAATGAGGGTGAAAGGGCATATATAACCAAGGAAGATCCCCGCAAGTATTATGTAGCACAGCTCCCGGCTAGAGGATTTGACGACGGGGGTATCCCTGTACAGTGCAAAGATAAGGGTAACAAACATGGTGATGAGGATGCCCAGACAAGAGAAGGCCACAGCCACAACGGACTCTATGTCACGCCACTCCAGATACTTTACAGGAATTGGTTGGCAGCCTATAGGATACAAAAAAGAAAAAAAGGAAAGAAATGATTGGATAAGCAGACAAATATCGCAAAATAAAGAGCTCCTTTGGGATCCTTAAAGAGCAGTTGCATAATAGAAGTGATCCTGCATTCATATCAAAACACGTGATTCTTGCACAAAAGCTTCATCTAATTATGTCATTCCACTGGTAGGACAAAATCTGCCAACAAAATAGATCATCCTTCCTCCTTCCAGTTCCCTGTGTATTTGCTAAATCTGATCCACAAATTTTGGAAGAAATAGGAAACACAAAGGAAATCCTGCTACAAAACGAGCACAAATTCTCTCGTGTATTATTGTTGTAATCTCTTATTCCACATACAAAAGAATAGACTCTTCTTAATTTTTTCATGGCAATTTCACAAAGAGTCTAGTTTTCGAAATCTATTCATTTCTAAACTTTATACTTACAACTTCAAGGCCAATGAACATCCCCAGGACAGCATCCAGACCAAATAGATGTTACTTACAGTTTCTATTTAGTAACACATAGACAGAAATTAATTCTCCTGCCAACATATTTATTCAGCTTCTGAGACATTTACAATCTATAAGACAATTATAGACCCCCCACCCGAATGGTATGAATGTTGTGTTCTATTTTTAATTATGTATTGTCCTTATGTGTTATTGTCTGTATCCCCCCCCCTTTGAGTTGTAAGCCGCCCTGAGTCCCCCCAGGGAAAAGGGCGGCCTATAAATAAATTTTCAAAATCAAATCAAATCAAATCAAATCAAATCGCATTGACAAATGTATACAATCAAGATCGAGTGATGTACTAATACATAAGGATAATACATAATTAAAAATA